TTTTTACGACCTATTTCCAAAAATTACCACTTAAGGAAACCCAGTAAACGGATGTTTCAAATGGTTTTGTACTGTTGACTTGCAAATTTTGTTTATCTATCTTCGAAATGAAGTACATATCAAGCTGTGACCATTGTAAAAATTTTATTGTTATTCAGGGTTATACATCATTTTGGAATGACTGTATTAGTAGCGGTCTTCGTGGATGCATTCTCACTGAATTGGCACTGAGAAACCGGATTGAATTAGAAAAATCTGGAATGCGAAAGAAGAGTTTGATGAGCAGAAAGGTCTACATCTATCATATATATTCAAATTTTATATCACCACTGTATCTAAGATAAAATTTACTAGGAACAGAACGTAAAATAGTAAAAGCAAACAAAAAATACCACTCAGGAACAACATGCGCAGGACTAGCCATAGAGTCAGACTCAACAAAAATTATAGGATCACTCAACCTAAAAGAAAAATAAAGACTAAACAAAACCAAAAAAAAATAAAAAACTAAATCAACACCATCCTTAAACCAATATCTAAGAAAAAAATGAAAAATAGTTCAGGAAGGATTGGAATTATTTCTTTTTACAAATTTATGTTGAATTTCGAAAATTTTTTGATACGTTACTGTCGAAAGTTATATATGACTGCTTTTAAAGAGCAGAGAGTGGTTTCTGGGAGAAAGCGGCTTTATATTATATGGTTTTATATTATATGAAAGTTCTATAATTATTCCACAACGTAATTCTGAAAAATTAATTCTTGATTCGGTCATTGAAAATAATATTTCTTTATGGAAATATAAATGGCTTTTATGCATTATTTGAACACTTACATTGTTTGGAAATGATTCTCTACCACAGTCTTTAGGTCTTATTGAAAAATGATCAGCCCACAGGCGACGTGATTTTGGACGAAGCACTAAAACACATAAAGGAAACGCAGCCACCGGAAACCGTGACAAGTTGGATTGAATATCTCAGTGGTGAAACATGGAATCCGCTCAAATTGCGCTATCAGGTTATTTTTGATAATATTTCATTTTTGATTTTGAAAGACTTGAAGTTTATAGCTTTACGTTATCTGCACCTTTACTTAATTCATCGAAATTTCAAGATCAAATTGTCATTTTAAAAGTATTTAATAGAGCTCTAAAATGTTCCATTTAGCTTCGCAATGTGCGTGAACGGTTGGCGAAAAACTTGGTGGAAAAAGGTGTGTTAACAACGGAGAAGCAAAATTTTTTTCTCTTTGACATGACTACCCATCCACTTCATGATGGCAACATGAAACAAAAACTGATAAAGGTTAACTTTTTGTTTCTGAGATTTGGAAGGATAACCCCTGTGTGATTTTGTGAGGATTATAATCTGGGTCATAAAGGAATGCCGCCGTTATCACCCAAATTTTTAACGGTGTCACTCACCATTACCAAGAAAAAAGATTAGAGTTATTGAAATCAAAATAAGTATAACTACAACAAAAAATCAAAATACTGTTCATAGTCAAAACCAAATTATAAACTTGCCCACTTCCAAAAAATAAGCACCTGGAGTAAGTAACTCAAAACGGACAACCACAGATAACGAAGAACCACAAATTCGTTACTTACATCCATTCGTTCTAATCGCATTGCTTACTTCCAATATTTCGGAGATTGACGTGTTTTTGTATCTTATTTATATATTCCATTTGTCAATAGGTTAATACACTATGGAAAAAAGAAATAATTGAAACAGTTATTGTTTATCTTTTTCTTTCAACAATCAATGTAATAAGTGTTACTTTCACTCATCTCACAGCATCAGTTTTGCTAACTAAATCATTGCTTCATTAAGATCAGTTTAAGCAAAGAAAGAAATCATGCTTACTGTTTCTCAAAAGAATAGAAATCGAGTCATTTTTCTTTAGAATTAAATTTGGACGTTAAGTTTTTCAGTTAATCAATTATCAGAATAAAATATGTGCTGCATAGAAATTTCATTTTCTATTGAAGTTAATTGAGCATTCATTTTGAAATTGTTACTGGTTGAAGGTCGAAATTCAAGAGAATAATTTTTTCTATTCTCGAACAAAAAAAAAGGAGAGAAAAGCAGATTTTAAGTATGGTTTTCTTTTTTTTCAGAAGGTACAAGAAGCTGTATTGTCACGATGGACTAATGATGTACAGAGAATGGAGAAAAGAATGATATCATTGGTAGTGTTGGCTCATGCTAGCGATGTTTTAGAAAATGCTTTTAACCCTCTTTCCGATCAGGTTACTTTGCTTTTAAGCTGTTAATATTTAAGATTTGGGAAATCTTTTTATAAAAGACAAATTTTTTATCAATTTATCCAAATTTCACTATTCTAATGGTGGTTCGACACCAATTTTTTTCATCTGCTCTTTCAACGCAAAAGGAAAAAAGAGTTTCTTAGGAAAATAACTATAATTTTTGAGGCGTGAAATAGGACTTATTATTTCAAATTGCATTATCATGCGAACCTCAATTTAACTCGGTAACAATATTCAATGAAATTGTGTATTAATTTGGACTCTCTTTAAATTGTAATTATTTACAATTATAAATAATTTTGTTCATTAATTTTTGTAAAGTTTTTATTGCAAAAATTCAACATTTTTCTATCGAAAAATGCTCATTTCCTGAAGTATTTTGATGAAGATTTTTTGGCCATGGATTCAATTCTTATTTTTTTTTTTGGTCATGGGTTCATTGCAGTTAGTTAGCTTATGTGACCTTATTTCTGTCTGTAAAAGCTTCACCTTCAATCTTTATTCATAAGAAACCTGATGCTAAGTAAGATCTTTAAGAACTCTATATACGTTATTTGCTGATATTTTTTATACTGGATTTTTCAAATCGTTTGACCCTACTATTCTAGCAGTTGTAACCGTTTGGTGACCAGTTCGTTTTTTCACCGAAAACTTTGTGTGCTTTGAAAGTGATAACTGCTCACATCAGTGATCATCCATTTTATTCTGACTTCCAAATGATTGACTATGAATTTCTATTTTTGAACTAAAAAAGCTTTAAATAATTGGACATCCAATGAATTTTCATACAATTTTTTCTTTTTATTATAACGGATGCAAGGAATTTGATCTGGAATCAATTTTTTTCCTGCGACAGTTTTGTACGGACTATTTTTGTTCAAAAATAATTTATCGGGAAAAAATTTCATCCCTACATCTGGAAAAACTATGGAAAATTTTCCCGCAACACTGTTTTCCTTCCCATTTCTAGACCATCATTTCTTGAAGTTAAATTAACTAAAATCAAAAAAAAAGTTAATGGCTATTCATGACAGGGCAAAAATTGTTTTTAAATGTTATGCTACCTATTGTATCATCGAATTTTTACCGGCGTAGACAATGTAAGCAATTATTATTATTTTTTTTTTTTTTTTTTGGAGAATGTGACTTGCAAATTCTTTACTCAACACTTTTTAAATACTGAATCAGTTTATCATCGCTCACTGATCTAAATCATTATGCTGCAAAAGGGTTACACGTAGTTCATTTCTTTTCTTCAGGATTATGAAATAGCAATGAAGCGCGTACGATCTTTACTTGAGCTTGACTACGATGCTGAAAGCGAAAAGAAAAGAGATTCCTGTATTGATGTGATGTGGGCTGTTTTTGCTGCTTTCAACAAATGATTGCAGTGATGACACTCTATAATTTTAACGTATTATTTAAAATTAATGAATGATTACATTTCTGGAAAGATTCCATTTTGGAGGTTGTTGTAGAATTCTTATATTTTGTGCAAGGTAACATTCTAAGAAACTATTCCCAGTGATCAACTTCTTTTATTCATTCTCTGAATTACTTTCATTAATTGGCATCTTTCATTTATTAGTTTTCAGCGCAAGACATTATTCCAGAACATTTTGTACCGGCAATTAAGGCGACTGTAAAATATAAAATAGGAGACAAATAGACCACTATCACTGCTAAGTAAGCTACCTCGATCATCATTTGCCTTACTTGCTGAACAAACATTATCTTTGTTTGCAGTGTATTTCGGTAACCATTTATCATATTTATTTACTTAATAAATTGGATTTGTATTTCCTTTTTTATTGAGAATGAACACTGAAATTTTGCGTTGCAATCGAATTTATTAACAAATCATTTCAGTAACAATAATTAAGGGTCATTGAACATTCATGTGTTTATATGTATGTATGTGTGTTGTATGCTTGTATGTATGTACAACATATATATGTTGTATGTTTGAGAGTATCTTCAAATCAAATTTAAGACTATTTATAGTGCCTTTATTGCCATTTTCTTTAATATTTTGTCGATTTATATGCTTTTCATTGTTACATTTCAGATTACTTTTTCTGCTGTCCATGCCATCTTTTTGCGCAAATTGTTTTTGGCTATTTGGAACATTTTTATGGAGATATTTTCTAATTTTTGCTGCTTTTAAGCAATTTACAGCTTAGAATGAATTTTTTGGGAAAAAATTTTCGATCGGCGAAAAATTGTACATAAATATTCCTTTCTTGTATTACAATTTTTTTTCTTTGTTTTTGTCAGTAGGTTTTTTGGAAGATATGAAATATCTGTGATAGAGTGAAGTTCGTCCTCGTCTTAGCCATTATTCTTATCAGATCAGGGGGACATTACTATCGTACTAGGACTGATATATATAAATTTGTATCACTGATAATATAATATGAAATAATAGGCATACTGTAAAGCAGTTGTTAAAACGATAGATGTAAAGAAAGCAATAAGTTATATTTACAGTTTCATATTGTAATGTAACACAATTATTTTTGAATATATATCTTTTCGTTTCATTTTGGTATTGTATATATGTATGTACATACATATATATAGCGTACACATGGGATATTAAGTTTTGTTTTTTTTTTGTATTTTTCCAGTTTTAATTTACTTTCTGATATATCTTGTCCACTATTACCTTCCCACAATTGCTTTTTTGCAAATTTAATTTGGGAAAAATATTTTCCTTACGCGCAATATTCTTGTATTCCTTTTAACAAATCAATAAATCGAATGTTTTGGTTGATTACTTATTTCATTCTCTCTACAAATAGCTTACGTTGCACATAGCAGCACATATTTGGAACCTTGCAACTAATGTAAAGTTGAATTTCCGGTGCTACGGGTAGATTGGTATTATATGCATGAACATGCTTGGACGTGTTATTTCATTTCGGGCTGCGGCCACGTTAACGTACTGTGTTCCTAGGAAGCGGTCATCGTGAGATTATGATATTCATGCAGTCGTTTTGGTTTGGTTTTGGGCGTAGTGCCTTGGGAAGTCGTTTCTTGACCTGGAGTTGACGCTAATATTGTATATACTAGACTGGGAAGTGTTACTAGCACGTAATTATCAGTATCATATATTTTGATGGAGGTAGAAAGGATAGATATTTATAAAAGTGATAAATGATTCGGGCAGCATAATTTTAATCAGCAATAATTTGATGAAACGATGAAATACTGGAATGCTGAATAGAGATTGATGTTAGTTGCTTTTTCAAAGAGTTAACCCTTTGCAACCGATACTTAGTTGCAACATCATGAAGCAATAGGTAAATTATATATTAGTAGGTGGTACAGTTTTGTGGTAGGATTTATTGAAATTGTTCTTTTAATTGCTTTAATCTCTGCTCTAAATGTCTTTGCCATATATTTGTCTAAGGCCTAAACTACTGTTCTATGTTGTTATCTACTGATATCATAATATCAGGGGAATTCGTTTTATCAGTGGAATTTTTGGAAAGCCACCAAAGATGTTGATGCCAACAAAAAATCGGAAAGCTATTTATGAGTATTTGTTCAAAGAAGGTGTGTGTGTAGCGAAGAAAGATTATAATTTGAAAACACATCCGGACATACCGAATGTGACCAATTTGGAGGTAATTAAAGCCTGCAAGGTGAGCATTACTATGTTTTTTTTTTTTCATTTGGTTTATGAATTTGTCCTATATGTAAGTAAATTTTCTGTACTTTATATTGTTTTGAACAACATTTTTATTAATTAATGTTAACACATTGTCATATGTGGTATGGGAACGTGAGCATGTAAAGTATATAGAAACATATAAATTGTAAACATTGTGTGGTAAAAAATCGTCGATTTGACTTTTTTAATAAGAGAAAAGTATTTTAATTGAAATTTTGGATTGCAGAGTCTTGCTTCACGGGAATACGTCAAAGAACAGTTTGCTTGGCGCCATCATTATTGGTATTTGACAAATGAGGGTATTGATTATTTAAGGGAATATCTTCATTTACCAGCTGAAATTGTTCCATCTACCGTCAAGGCCAAACAGCGAGAACCAAGGCCTGGGTTTGAGCGTATGCCACGAGGTGGTTTTGATTTAACATCTAAATTTAATTCCTTGTTAGATTATTTCTTAAATTTAAAATTTCTTGCTAATCGCTTTAGAAATAATAACCTAGACAGCATTTTTTCTTTCTTTTCCCTTCTTTATCTAAAGGCTTATTAAATTCTAGTTTTTCTGAAGAGTAAATTTGTTTTCAGGACTGAAAGTAGAAAGCGATAGAGATGCATATCGAACAGCTGAAAAGGTAACCGAGGCAGGTCCAGGTGCAGCACCAGTATCAGGTTATCGAGGTGGATATGGTCGGGGTGCAGGAGCCCTACAGTAAGACTGCATACAAAAAATGATAATGATTGGAAATGTTTTTTATTGTTACTAATGAATAAATAACTCAAACTGATGTAATTTTGTAATGCACGAGAAGTATGAACAGTATTGCTGCGTCATTATTTTAGACTTAGCATTTAAGTAATAAACACTAATCTGGGATTTGAACAATGAGTTAAGTGGAATGTATTAAAATGTAAATTTAAATTTCGATGATTTACTGATGTGATGTTGGTTTCAATTAGTCATGTCGCTAGAGAATTTCGAGATGAAGTGAAGGGAATGAACATTCATTGGGGTTGGGAAAGGGAATGGGCATCTTATTTGTTTAATGAGGTGAGTCAGAAGGGATTTGTATTTTACAGCAGTGATGGATGACCTCGGTCCGTCATGCTCAGGGCGTGAGAAGCATCATTTGGAAACATCAGATGCATCGTCGCTTTTCCTGCTGAAGGGTGAATTATATCGGAAAATTGGCGAACAGCGTCGAAAAGCTACTACGACTCCGGTGAGAACTTCCAAGAAGGTATGCAGTATTTTCATGAAAACTAAATATACATGAATCTCTGATTCATCTGTTTAACGGAAGGCTGATTATCAGTATCATTCCTTGTTCGAAGTTATTTTTCGTAACGAGATTGTTCTAGAATCAAAGAAGCGTATGGCATAATTTTGCAGTGAGTATAGTACGTCTGGGTTGACACACATTTGACGCAGATTTGAATGATTACATAATTTCGAAATAGCTTTGTAAAGAATGCAAAGTTTATTCAGTAAATTTTCCTGTAGAGTGTTCTATGGATCGGCAAAGAAGAAGAGAAGAAAATTGCAGAAGAGAAGCGGCAACGAGAAGCACGCATTCGTGATCTAGAAAAGTCGATAGCACAAGATGAAGAGCAGAGGAAACGAATGCAAAAGATATTGGAAGAAAAAAGTGAAATTTATGCGCGTTTATGCCAAGGCGAAGCAATTTTAAACGGTTTGTCTGTTTGTTTCTTCGAATTATATTAAGTGGAAGTAGTTATTTTTTTGACTTTTGATAAGTGGGTTACTTGACAAATGAACAATAATTTGAGAGTCAAATAAATCAAATTAGCCTTACAATTCAGGTGATAATGAGCCAGTGGAATTCCTGGTAGATTTCAATGCAAAGAAACGTGACGAGGAGGAACAACATTTGAAGGATGCTGAAAAAGCAAAAAATGAAGAAAGCGAAGCAGTACACTTCAATCCAGACGAAGGTATTTTATAGATCATTTACGTGAGGAGGTATGCTGGACAGAGTCATTTCACTTCTGTCCACCATATCTCCTCAGTAATTTTTTAGTTGCTAAACAGTCAGTTCAAATTTTATTGATTGCTAATCAATTTGATTTTTGCTGATTGAACTGCTCACTGTTTTCTTTTACGTACTGATTTACAGCACCTTATTTTCTGATTGTTTGATAAAATTTTTTTCAAGCTAAGTTGATAGATTTAAAAATAAATTTAGAACAGCGAGTTTACGGTGTTTCTCATGTTCCACTTCCCGTCAGCGAAACTAAAAGGCAAGAACAAATCCAGGAATTACTGGAACTAAGTAAGGTAAGTCATAACCGGACACAATTTGGTATTTTTTAATTCTTTATTTTTGCACATTTTTGAAATTATTTTTTATCTTTAGAAAACTGAAGTTCATCGGGCAAAAAGGAAGCATTTAATTGAAGAACGAGAAAAGAAGAAATGGGAGCAATTAAATAGAATCCGGAAGCGGAAAGGTATGGAAGAATTACTTCCACGAAGTTCTGAAGGTAACTATTATTTGGTGATTTAGATTTAAATCTTGTCATTGCATTTTATAATGGAAAATATAATATATTTAACTGTAAACTAAGGAAGATTTGTGATTTTTGCTTTCTAACGGATATCAGGAAAACCAGTTTGTTTCCATTCTATTTTCCTCGTTAGCCTTTTTCTTCATGTCAGGAGATAATAAAGGGAAGTTTCTTGATATTCCTCTTCCTGATGAACCACCAATGGAAGTATGCACAAAACAACCAGAACCAAAAAAATTCATTCCTGTTCGCGAGTGGGATCGTGGAAAAGGTATATTTTTTATACATTGAATAATCAGCAGTATAATATATTTTGATTGATTTTGATATTAATAAGACGATGATGTACATCTTAAAAGATTTGTTTACATAAAATTTCTTATTTCAGTGCTTTATGATAGGTGGATCACAAAGCAGCGTGATGAACGTGATGATGAATTTGCACCGCCGTCGAGCTACTTCCGATAGCTAATGATTAAGCTACTTCTTTTTTAGGCATTTCAAAACATTGATTTTTTTTTGTATATAGATTTAATAAAGGCGTTTGACAAACCCTTTCATCTTTCAACAAATGTTATTTCATTCGATATTAATATTCACTTATACAATCAGTACATAATTTGTTAAATAAATGAAATTTTACTACAGAAAAATGAGATGTTTATGGTGATTGTCATTTGTATATTTACATTTTTAACCACCAAATTTTATTGAAATATGTGAGTTTTGAGATTATTCTCTTTACTGGAACAGCAAGTTCTGCAATTTAAATTGTGGTGAGGAATTCCGTTGGATGAAATTGAATGTAGTATTTTGGATTGGTTGCTAGGACTATTTTGGTATATAGTGGTTCCTAATTATTTAAAAACTTGTTTATTCTACAGAAATACTACTTGAGGCTTTTTCAGTTGAAATTTATTCGTCTTAAAATTATGAAATTATTGGTGGAGTCAAGTAGTATATTACGGGCAGCAATTGTTTTATGGTGTTGAATGTATTTGTTACATTATAAAGTTTTTTTGTGAACTTGTTGGAACTAAAATTCCGAGTATTTCAGGATGAACTTTAATCCAAACTTTGAAGAAATAGGAAACGCTTTTATCCAGCATTATTATTCGAAATTCGACGTGCAAGATCCTACAGCACGAAGTTCAGGTCTAAGCGATCTTTACGATCCTATGAATTCCTACATGACATTTGAGGGTGTGCAAGTAAAAGGACGGGATTCTATTTTGCAGAAATTTGCTGTAAGTATTTTTGTTGCAAGGAAAATAGTAATATGGTGAGGTATGATCAAGAGTGTCCCACAGTCATTGTTTATTGGTCTCTAAGCTATTAAGAGTGTTACCTCCATATAAAGTCGTATAAGGGGTTATCATTAGCATATTATAATATTTCCTCGATAAGGCTTGATTTATGGACTTTTTTGTCAAGCAGAAGGAATCAGGTCCAATTCACGTGGATAAAAATGTGCTTACTTTTGCTTATAAGTAATTTCGTTGGTTTTACTTGGTCATTTGAGCTCTTTTTTAATGCAAGAATTGAATTGCCTGAAAGCGGAAGGTTGATAAAAAACGCATTGCTTTTCAAAATTTTACCCCGTAGTTCATCTATATGCTTGCTTTTCGCGGAGAAACTTTATAGTTGTACTGAAATAAAAGGTAATAGAATCATTTTACTTTTTTATTCTTGATACATTGTCTGTTTTTTTCACTGCTTTTTTTTCAGGCCTTGCCATTTAGGATGATACAACGAGCAATAACAAAAACAGATTGTCAGCCACTGCCAGACGGGTCCATACTTGTTGCAGTTATCGGGCAACTTAAGGTTATCTCTTTATCATTTTCCGAACTGTAAAACATGATTTTTGATTCAAAGGAATAATTTTAGTAGAGAATTACGGCGAAAGATTTTTTTCTATATTTATAAAAAAATTGTAATAAAAAATATAATATAGTTGATTATGCCTGCTTCATTTAAAAAATGCTAGTTTATTTTTCTGAAAATTCGCTATATTTTTTTAGATTAGCAATTCGCAGTTTGATCCTTTTGATTTAAAAGATAATTTGATAAGTTATAAATAGTATAGAAAATGAAATTTTCGTGTCATTCCGGAACTTTTTCCAGTAAAATCTGGCTTAAATGTTTCATTGCAAAATAGTATTTTGAAACGGTCAAGAAACGAAGAAGTGCCGCATAAGATTCTTAATGCTTAGATCAAGTCTTGCGAGGCAAAAAAGTCTGAATTGTGAAATTTAATGGTTTTATAAAATTAATGAGTTTTACAAGTTGATGTTTGGCATTCGTATTCATAAACAACACATCATTGTGTGATTAACATTTCTAAATTTCCTCTCGAAAAAAATTGCATTGTTTGACCAATTTCTTTTTTCAGACCGATGATGATCCAATTCAGTCATTCAATCATTTTTTCGTTCTTCGTCCTGCAACTGGTTCATTTTTTATCTCAAATGAAATATTCCGTCTGGTGTTACACGATCACTAATAACAGTGTGATATATCGTTAATGCTTTCTCTCAACTTTCTCATTTTTTCTTTAACAGAGCTAAATATTTTTCGCTGTTTTCATCAGTTTATATGGAAATAAAAAGACGTCCGCCTATCGGTGATATTTACTTTAAGTTGAATATTTTGTCATTCTGAACTTTAGGTTTTTCGTTTTTCTCATGTGAATAAATCGTAAGTCTTGATGTTCATTTCACTTTGTTTTACGTTTTAGTCTAAATTAAATTAGATTTTGAATTTTTTAAATATGTTACTTTTTCATAGATTTTATACTAAAACTCAGTTATTGTTTTTTTCCTCTTCTTAATGATGATATAAGGGTAGAAACATCTAGCAATCTTTTTCTTCCGTTTATAAAAGATTATCTTTGATCTGGCTCAACACTGATAGGAATAAGCATTTTTGGCCTCGATCTCTTTGTCAAATTTTGATAAGAGTTTTATGACAAATCCCCGGTCCCTTTTCATATTTTTTGATAACTGCATGTATTTATTTCATGCGTGATTGGTTTTTTCTTGTTGCGTTATCGTTTCTTTGACTTTTTATAGTGAGACTTTGTGCTCAATTTTGTCAGTTTCTTTTATTCTTTGATGTTTTGAAGAAAAAAAATATACCCTCAGTTGTTAGTGTTATAATGTGTGATGTGTGTTGTTATCAGTAAATGTATTTTCCATAACAAAAAGGACATCATTTGTTACATTATTTCTTATGATATTCAAATGACAACTATTTTATTCTCCAAATTCTTTTTGAAATTTTGTTTGGAATTCATGAGGCATGTGGAAATATCCAATTATCACGAAGAGGTTCTTTAAATTGTTTGGCAATAATTTCATTTGGGTCACAATTTTTGAAACTCTTGTAAAGGTTTCCAATATAATGGAACTAGAGATATAATTATTAGTGAATTTATTGAGACGATCCTGATCAAAAAGGATTTCATATGATTTAAATGATGTGGAAGAAATCAAACATTTATTTATTTATAGTCTGGTTTGTTATGTGTTGGTGAAAAAAGTATAAATGCTTTGACATAAATGAACATAAGTGGGAGATCAGGTAAAGCTGCAACTCGTGGCCAAAAGCAGATTTATGAAGAGAACCGAGCTGTAATATTACATTATTCAGCTGCTGCCATACTTTCTTCGGTAAGTATATGTTAATTTTCTTTTCAGTTTTCTTATTGTAAGTTATTCTACACAGTGATTAATTAAGTAAGAAATACATAACTTATCATTTAGTGGCACAACCCTGGTTAGATTACTCTTTACATTCAACTGAGTTAGTAAATTTAAAAGAATGAGTAAATTGCCACCAATCGTAAAAATCCTCATAATACAGTAAGTATTGCATGCAGCATTGAAAGAATGCTGAAATTAAAGTACGTGAAATAAAGTATTTTTTAGTTCTTGGCTCTCAGTTTTTTACTTCTTCATCTTTTTGTTTAGTCATAGTTCGAGTTATTTTATCAGATATTTCCAGTATAAACGATTAGATAAGTTGAAAGGTAAGCCACTGCGTATGTAATAAAATCATTAATGAGCTTCCTGAAAGAAATCCACTTCGTCAAAATTATTTAAAATACATTTGTTTGCTAGAGAATCTTGAAAGTTTTATGGAAACTTATTTTGTTATATTTTTAATGCTGTCCAAATCATACCATCTTCTGATAATAGCTTGTTCAGATCAGTTTTGGCATAAATTCTAGGTTTTATTTTATTTTCCATCACATATTAGTGACTAACTCTTATAACAAATATATACTTTTTACTTCCCATACAAATTAATTAATTATCATCCATCCTTTTGATATCTTAAAATTATATTTTGCAGATTTTCTACACATTGATTTCGTTATTTTTCTTTTCACGAACAGCATGGGAATGGGTATGTTTTTAAGTAGAATTTTATATTATTTATAAGTAACATAGCTGTTCCAGCTCAGTGTTCCAAATCATACTAAAACAAAGAATTTTCGTTTTTTTAAACGCTTATTAATTGTGGATTAAACCTACTTTATACATAATCTGATATAAATATGTTTCTCATTATCATTCGATCATAGATTTCATTACTTCCCTATTTTTTTTATTTAACACAACTAATTCCAACTTCTTGATGGTTTCTATTGCTGGTAAAAAAGTCTTTTATTGGTAGTAAGGTTTTGGAATTGTTTGGATTTGATGATTATAGTTCTAATGTTGTTTTGCAAACAGTTATAACGAGTTACTAGTTTTTTTTATAGTTTGGATTTTTAATTTGCTGTCTGTTGGAAGTGGCAGCAATTCTAACAATGCGTTCTATGGCACGATGCCGTCGTAACGAAAAAGGACAAGTAATAGATGCCGGATTAGACCTTAATCAGCCGGATGCTTTCGGAGAGTTAGTGATTTTCAGATTTTATAATGAACGTTTGTAGGATGTTTTGTCTGCATTTAGATCATCTCTACAGCCTTGACACTTTGTGGTTGAGAAAGACAACAAATTTTTAAAAGGAAAATTTTTTAGAATTAAAATATTCCAACTTCAACTAAAGGCTGATGGTAATTACTGTTACCAGTTTCCAATTAAAGTTAACAGTAATTATTTTTCAAATATTTCAACTTTCAACTGAAGTATTTCAGGTATTGTAAGGATGTGGTAATTTTATGTTCATTCATTGCAACAGTAGCCATCATTTGGTCCACGATTTTTTGGCTCTTGTTATTGATTCCGGCATATGTATTGTACAAGCTGTGGAAAGTGATCATTGCACCGTGGTTTTTCGCAGAACCACCAGAGCAAGAAGAAGATAAGAAAATAAAAAAACGTGAGAGGAAGCTTCGCAAAACATGAAACTGCTTTTCTGTTGAGTATTATGACGATATTTTGAACTTTTTGGGAAAAAATTACATGTCAGCGACCTCACTTCAGTAATAAAAGTAAGTGTTTGTGATTCATGATGGCATTGGTATAAGAAAAAAAATTCATCAGTCAGTAAATTGGCTTTATTAACAAATGTAATTTGTACATGATTTATAGTTGCAAAAAAATTTTGATCTTGAATTGTGCATTTATTTGGAAACAGCGTTTTGTGGAATTTTACGGATTTTTTTTACTATCATTCTCAAGTATTTTCCGGAACTTGCTTTGCTTTAATTTTGCAATTCTTTGTTATTAAATGTTACATAGACAATTTTCGACATTCACCAAATAAAAATTGAGATTTCCAAATGTTATTGAAAGCATGCATATCCGCAAAAAACTTGCTTCTTGATGATCTAATCTACTATTGTTAAACGGTTTTCAATAATTTTAAATGGTTTAAAACTTGTCGAAATTGTTAGCAAATTCCCGTTATCGTAATGTTTTTTTTCTCAAACTTGGTAAGTACTTCTATAACATTCGTGATAATATTATAGGAATAAAATTATATAGATGTTTGTCTATTTTTTTTTTCTGCGATTGCATGGGATACGCTATTATTAAAATATTTACATTTTAGTCAATATCTTTTAGTCTTACAGTATAGTATAATTGTATTTTCATGTAATTTAAATCACACTATAACTTCTCGCTCTACTAGTCGAATTATTGTGCTTACTGAAAATGGACCACACTGAACAATAAACTAGGAATTTTTTTTAGTTTAGGAATTAATACTGAGGATAGTTGACTACAAGTGTACATTAATGGAATGAAGATTATTCTCTATAAGCAAGCCAAGTGTAATGGTTTTGCTTGGAATATGTGATGATTTACATCTAATAATTTTTTAAGGATGGATATGTATGGTAGCTATCCATCACGGTTATCAATTGTCTGCAGTGAACTGCTACCACGAATTCAGAATCAAAGCTACGTTGTGGATACGTATTTCTTACAATCAGCTATCGATCGTATTTTCAACGATCCTCAAATCGATCTTTTATCCGTTTTATTACAGCCAGGAATAAACGATTCTGTAAATGAATATGATCAACTGGTCGAGTTAATTGGCATAAATTCTGTTATATTCAAGGCAACGTTTTATCCTCTTCATCTCTTATATTTTCTTTCCTTCATCTCTTATGTTGTCGCAGTCTTCAAAATTAATCCTATATTTGATACTAGTAGTTGAGCTAGTGTAAATAAAATCTCTGGATACTTTATCACAACAATTAGGATACACGTTTCATTTATTTCTATTGTGTTTGCAAATCGAATTGAATTAGAAAATGGAAATGGAAAAAAAGTATGAATTTCATGTTTCAGCTATTGTTGGAATCAAACATCGAATTTTTCGAGTATTTTATGACTTCTTTTTGCCGACATTTGGAGCGTAGTTCGTGTATATTACCACTGAAAACTGTACAAGACAGCGTCTATATGAGACTTCTTGCTGATTATGTTTGTTTTATGATGCCGGTGAATGAAGAAAATTCAGCTGCTGTAACAGCGAGAAAAATTCATTCTGAAAATACGATGAAGAGTAGTTATAGTACACCACTCAATGTCTTTAAAGAGGTGTGTTATTAAAAAATTTTTTTTCTTTGTTTTATTAGTCGAACTACATTTTTAACACACACAATCATTTAGTTTGTAGGGCTAAAGCGATAGTATGAATGCTCATCGAGTCTAGCTTTTGTTTCTGCGTCGCAATTATAAGTTATTGCGTTATTTAAATTGTTAATTTTTGAGTATTCTAATCTTAGTTAGCTTGTAGCTAGCTTATACTAGATAAAACTTTCTCAGTAATACTATGCAAGATGAAGTCTGTTTGGCTTTATTTGAAGCTTTTAGGAAACTTTCATCATACCTGTTTTCTTATCCTCGCTTACATCACCTTTTATGTTGCTTCGATAACTTACCTGAAATATATTAGTCATTATTCCCTCAATTTGATGTTTGTTTTATATATATTGCTAACTTCATTATTACAGGAAGCTTTAAGACGATATGCGCTCTGTCCCTCATCACATTCCATTCGGACATTGCGAACTATGACCCAGTCTATTTCACCACATTTTCTAACATTCACATGTATTCTTGTTCGCTCATACTGCTCGTTATCAAATTGGCCAACTGATTACCGTTTCATTGCTCTAAGGTTAACTATGATTGTATTTTATTATTAATTGTTGGATGTCTCATAACTGAAAAGTATTTTAAAACGCAATTTGCTCAACCATTTTAAAATATAGGTTATATTTACTCTTCTTTTAATTTTCTTTTAGTCATTATTCGAATTTATTTCCAATATAGTGAATTTTATCTGTATCCTTTTCAGGAATTAAAATTACAACGTTTCCATTTCAGATTTGTTCTTAGAGAAATTCATGTATTTGCACTTGCTGAGTCGGAAGAGTTCAACTTTTCCCAGTCAAAACTTCAACTGCAATGGAATGCACCATTTGCGGATGAACTTTTTGATTTTTTCTTGTCATTATTTACTCATTGGCCAGCAAATCCCTCCTTTACCAATCTTTTTGGTTAGTCTTCACTAACTATTCATTCATTTGTATTTTTTATAAAAATACTTTCTGCGCTTGAATTATACTTCTAAATCAAAATTTTTCTGAGGTGAATTGATTTCTTGATGCTGGTAGTATATTCAAGAAGAATGAAATACTATTTCGGATTTTCAGATGTATGGGTTACATGGATCCGACCATGGCGTTACTGTGGGAATGATCTACAACGTAATATGCCATTCATTCGTTGCAATCGTCGTTTTTATATCGAATTGTCAGATGCATTCTGGCGACGGAAATTTTCACTTGAATGCACACAGGATATAGAGAATTTAGCTTCATACATTTGTATTTTAACCTCTCCTGATATGCTAGAAGTAAGCTTTTTGTAGTTTGAGATCTAAATAATTTTTAAATTCAGAAAAGATATGAATGGAAATTTTTGGGAAATCTGTTAATGATACAATTTGAAGGATTTGAGTCTTTATATACAATTTATTCACTGTTAATTCCTTCATAAGAAATTTGATTTGAACACTTTATCATGGTTCAGAAATGGCAATAAGTTAGATAATATAACATACTAGTACACTTCAAATTAGGTTGTGTTTTTCTTTTTAAAGAACAAAAGAATTGGTTTTTTTTCTCTTCTTTTTCTCTGGCTAAATGTGTCCAGTCACAGAAATCAGGACAAAAAAATTCAAAAGAATCTAAAACTTTTCGAACAAATAAAAGGACTTTTGATAAAATTTAGTGATTAAACAGGTCAACTTAAATAGTAATTTTATGGTATTTTTTACGGTATACATGGTACTGGAAGTTTTGTACTGGAAGTTTTTACAGGTCTACGAGGCTTTGGAATATAATTTGGAACCATATGTTCTTACTTTAATAAATTCATTGAAAGAGGATGCTGAAAAATTGTGTTTGAGAATGCTGAAAGATGAAGAAAAATTGGAAAAGGCAGGCTGGTTTCAACGCACGTTCTTCTGTCTTGGTATAATTTACTTTTACGCATGCGTTTGTTTATTTATTCTACGTAGAAGTAAAGGAAAAATTTCTTGGGCGAGATGGAAAGCCAAAATGATCATTAATGCTTATTAGGATTGCCATTGAATAGCTTTCTTTTTTTGTAGTTAAGATTCATTTTAGCATTTGGTTTTGTTCATAAATCCATCCATTTTAAAGATTAATATATGCAAAATGTTCATTTTATATTTTGACGTGCCAAGTTTACTCTATGTTGTAAGTATTCGAAAGTTTTCTCTTTGTCGTATTGTGATAAAAAATCTCTGGTCTTTTTTATGAATTTTCATCTTGTATTTTTGATTACGGGAACAAGGCACTTGATGAGAAATTTTCACAAAAAATGGAATCTTAAAAGCGATAAATTGTTGGTTTTATTAATATAAATGTTCATAAATCATTAATTTAAATTTAAAATGTTATTTTGCAGAGGAAGAATTGCTTTTGTCAGAGCATAAAAGAACTCTGAAAGCATTGGAAAGGCTTATTATAGATGCAAGCAAAGCTTTGTCGGATTCAGATTGCAGTGAGTCACAAAATGGCATTGTTGCTGCAAGGAGAGTTTCAGCAAATGAATCCTCAATGAGTATTATGAGCACTTCTAGTTCACATAATTCATTACTTTCACGAAAACAAATTCCTGATCATTATGTTGATTCAACGACAAAATTAATGTATCTTACACCACTTGGACGAAAACAGGTGAGCTAAAATTATTTTAAAATTTTGAAGTGAAAATTAAGATTAAATTAAATGAATTTTGCTAAGTGCGATTATTTCATCTCGATGAGGGAATAGCAGTAGCAATAATTAGAATACTGCAGCCTAGTAGCAAACCAACGAGACAGTCGCACATTTTTTGAATAATCCTAAAAAGTCCAACCATTGACAATTATTTTACCAGTACTGTTTCAAACGAAATATTCAAATGGCATTGTTGATTCTGGTCATTTTTGATATTAAATAGTAACCGATTTCTTATATAATCATAAAAATGGGGATGTTAAGCGATAAGAAAGCAATCAGAATATATTAGAAAAGGATTCTAGTACAAGTTTGCAGAAGAAACCTAATTATATGAAAAGATTGGAAAATATATGAAGACGAAGAATCTACGATGAAATTGTTATTTTGAATAAATTTATAGGTTGCTCAAGGAACACATCGTTTTGATTATTCGAAATGCTGGAAAGCAACACCGCCAATTATTTCATCACTTCGTTCCAATGAAGTCTGGTGGTTGTCCAGATTACTGTATCGAATTTCTAGAACCATTAATCATATCGGATTTATTCAGTATCTTTCGCAATGCTACGAAGATTCCACACTAGTTGGTTTCATTGCTCGACTTTTGCTTGATCCAGAATATCCTAATGTCTATGTTCCGGCACATTCATCAGTTATTGCATTTCAAAAGCCGTGCCTTAATTTGCGTTACTTTGCTTACTATCGTAATTTGGTACCGATTTGTTTTTTCTTTATTATGCTCTTTTTTCTTCCCTTTTCTTACTGCTCAATAACATTGCTTTGTATGATATTTTATAGCAGATTTTTGCTCTAAATTCATCCGATTGATTGATGATAAAGTAAGAAGAGTAGAGAAATCATACGGGATATTTGAAAGAAATTATTCAAAAGATTGTATTGTGCTTACTGCGACATCGGGAAATTTTGGGAAGTAAAATAAGAAATAAGGGTAAAAACTATAATTTAATGTTATTGTTGATGCAATAACTATCAGAGAGATATTATTTTGTTGCAATTATTATTTCAGTTGAAATTGATCAATGTATTATGTTTTATGCTGTCAAAATGTTTTCGCCATAGTTTCTTCTATTGTTTTGGTATTTAAAAATTGAAGTTTCATCAATCAATGTATTACGCGAGAATTTAATTTAACTCGATCTCTTATTTCAAATATCGATTTTTTATGTTATTTTTTCTAGATTGTCGTCTGTATCCCAATAAACGTGACAATTTTTAAGAATAATGATGCATAGATTGGACTATTTATTTTCCGATTTATAATTTAAATTTATTTTAAATATCATTTTAGCACAAAATAACATGCAATCCAATCTTTAGTGTTTGTTGCGAAGAATGTTTTTCATAGGATCGTTCTGCTGGTTTCATGCGTTTATACCGGAATGTGTTAGAAGTAATAAGGCTTGTGAGGTATTGTGGATCATATACTGTCAGTAAGGATATTACACTACATCTGAATCTTTATGTCTGTAAATAGCGATTTAGTAGTAGAACATGTTCACTTTAATGGAAGGATTCATCCTAATAAGAGTTTGTAAGGTGAAATTCTATCATAAAATGAATAAATAAACCGATCTTGACCATCAAAATTATATCGCGAGGATCAAGATTATTGATGATTGATTAATTTCGTTAGCTTTATGATACAATAATGTTTGTTAGGATTTTGTAACTTTAGTATGATTAACACAGAGATAACTTTGAAAGTCTTGCAAGAAAAAAAATTTTTCTATTTATTTTCATAAGTACTGTTTGCAGGGATAAAACATTTTTAATGGACGAATTCTTAAATGTGAATAGTTTGGATACCTTAAGAGCAATACATGAAAGTGATGAACAGTGGAAATTACGGCGAATGTTTCTTGAACGACATATGGCTAATTATCCAAAAAATCGTCTTCTTTGTCTAGCTCAGATCTTCTGTAATATGATCGCTCTCGGTTGCACGTAAATTTTCCTTGGTTTTAGGAGTTTTAAAGTTGGTGTTGATGAATTAATGTTGATATTACGAGAGGTATTAGATGATAAATTAACCACTTACTTAATCGTTTAGATCCATAGCATGCAAATTTAATAAAAAAGAAAAGTAGCTCGTCTGAGTAAATTAGACTAGTGTGACTTTGCTAGACGAAATTGCATTTTATTAGCAACAAGATCACTTTTTTGGAATTGCATAACTAAGCTATTTTTTGAAGTAGAAATTCAAAATTTTCATTTGAAACCGGTGATTTATAGTTGGTTTAACAGTTCTCTCAGTTCGCAAATTTTCAAATCTAACCAGTTTATCTTAAGCGTTACTTGATTCTTTCTAAGAAAACAAGATTGGTGGGTGAAATTTTGGGATTTGTTTCCGCCCCAATACCAATTTGCTAGAGTATTTAATAAACAAGCAGATATTTGTAAGAAGATAAAAAAATCAGTTGGAGAAAAGCTATTTTTAATAAATATAAATAAAGTGAAAAGATAAGTTTACATTTGTAAGCGTAGTTCTGTTTGCAGATATGACCAGGAACTGATGAAGACAGTCAGAGAAATGGGTGCAGGACTATGCGAAGTGCTTAAGGTTAATGACTTTCTCAAAATGGTGAAATCGATGAATTTGAAATTTCAAATCTGTGCGAAAGAAATAAAGTTTAATTATCGATGAGAAGATCACTTTTATTAAAATAAAACCAAAAATTTTCCAGATAGTATGAATTTTTTTGTAGGATCGTAAACGAATTTTTGAGCAAGATTCTGTCAAGCCATCTGTTTCGAAAAAAGCAAAGTTGGAGTTAAAAAGTGGCAGTGTTATCAATGAAGATTCGCCATGCGCTTTGAAAAGGAAGGTTTGCTTAAATATTTATACAGTTATTCTTCGTTAAAAAATTGTGCAATAATTCAGGTGTTCTGATTTTGAATTGTCAAAAAATTATCAATCAGAGGTATCAAGAATTTTAGCAAAGCTTACTGTCATCTTTCTATACACGATAATACACGATTCGGTAATAAACAGTGTGCTTCACTTGCAGAGTTTTATGCTAATAAGAGCGCAATTGACCGTCCTTGGAAAAGACACTGAGCCGCTTCTTTCGCTCAATCAACTAACTTCTCGACTCAAGTACAAATGGGAGTTAAAGAGTGTTGAAAATGGCAAATCGGTACTTCTTGTGAATGATGTCATTGTTTTGGAAGGAATTTTACCTGCATGGAATGATAACGATACAAAAAATTTTGCTGCTGCTGCAGCTTTAGCATCATTATCGAGGGTATGACTTTCTTTTTCATGCTCTTTTCCTATAAAAATGATAAGAAATGTTATCTCGGGAAGCAGCGAAATTTTTACTTTTAAGACCATTATTATATGGAGATAACTTTCTTTTAAAATTTTTTTCCTCAATTTAAGATTCAAAAACTGAAAGCGATTTAACTATACATCACGTGTAATTTTGAACAGAACAAAAATTTCCCAATAATTGGATTTGAGTGTGATTAACTGTACGTGTAATTCATTGGCAATATTATAGGAAGACAGAGAAGTACGTGCGAAAGGTGGCAAGTTTGAATTATGCAAAGGCGATGATGGTCCATCCGATTTTTATATGTCCTATCTTGTGGATCAATTGAAATTGGCCGTTAAAGTGATGCCTACCAATGGAACTTCATTTGATAAATTGGAAGGCGGTCTTCGTGCAGTTCGGATGCCTCTGCGATACATTGCCGAACGAGGAACAGGGCACGACTTCTTTTACATGCAATATTTCGAGCTCCTTTCTCTTTAAAAGTCAAAATGTCTAATATTCAAATTTAAATTATTTCAGATGGGAACAAAAAATATCGATAAATGCACTCAATGTTCAACTAGCAAGCGCTGTGTTACGAAAAGGCGAGTGCAATAGGAGCCGAGAAAAAGAACGGAAAGAAAATCTAGCTAATGTAGTCATTCAAAGACTTAGTGATCCAGATTTTGAACTTGTCTCGGTTAATAACGGATATATACTTCGTTAGCTCTTCATCTATAAAAATATGTGGTGTATTAGTTTTTGGAACAGCACCACTTTTTAAATATAAAAACCAAAAAATGAAAGATTTTAAAAAATCATTGTGGCGGTTTCAAAAATAAAAAGATGAACATCTACCGAAGCCGAAATTTATCTGCAATTTATGACAGTATGCTTTCTGCTAAAATTCCATTCATTCTAAAATTTGCAAACATTACTACCATAATTTATAGGTTACAGAAAGCAAGTACAAAATTACTTTTTCTGACATCGACGAATAGTATTGAAAAATTCACTATTAAGAAACTGATGTCAAAACTCATTATTTGAAAGAATATAAACAAGTTTTACGAGGATATGCTCGATAAGTAATTAATAAATTTATAAATAATTGATATAGCTTCAAATAACCGAACTCAACAAATAAAGTTATTTATACAGGTTACAAAAGGAATGATCATTGAACAATCATATAATTCAATGATAATATCCATTGAATTATATATCCATATGCATTGGTAATATTCATCGTGAATATGCTGGTGAGGCAGTAATAATATCGGTTTTATTTAACTTTTCTTTTGATGTTTTGTTAGCTGTCTGCTTTATAGAGCAAATGAAATTTCCTATTTTTTTTGTCTTAGAATTATTTCAATGCTCCTTTGTACTATGTCCAACTCCTATATCCCCGATCGAATAATAACTAAGTCGGTTTTCAAAATCAACCTTCTGTTCATCTGAACGTTTGGAAAAAATAAAGTACTTGTATATATTTGATGTTACTTTCAATAATCATCTTTAAAATAGCATTAAAAAGTTCCTTATTTTTGATTATGTAGAAATGTTACTCACGAGATGTTATAGTTGGAGAAAATATTTGGCAAAGTTCTTTGCAGCCATACATAAAAATTGGTGAGACTATTCTCTTGTAGCAGAGAATTGTACTGGATGAGTGCTTTTTGGATCGAAACAAAATTTGGATCCATCATTTCACTCTTTCTCCTGTTCTTTTTTTCAAAATTTTAGCAAAACCGTTTGACAAGTGGGAACTGTGCCATTTTATTAAAAATGCTATTTCAAAATGAGCTTTTCGTCTGTCATCGAAATTATGACCTCTACCACTGAAATCATGACCTTTGTCTGCAAAAATTTACTTTTAACCGCCTAGCTTCCTTTTTTTAAGACTAGCGAGATATGGCATCTTCAGAAAATTTGATACCTTCAATGTCACACACCGAGGAACCTTCATAAATTCTGCCTTGTACTTGCGAACCACCGATATCAATCCATAGCTGTAAATAATTTGATCAGAAATGCTATTATATGAGCTCGCTTCGATTGTAACATTTAAACATAGACTGTTAGATGAAACTATTAAAGCATTATTAAAGTATTTTTAAAAAAATTTGAAGGTGTTTGTCTGTGAGAGATTATCCGTTTGCGATGATATTTATCTGTCATGATCAATTAATTTCTCACTGATATGAGTACTTCGCAACCCTTTATGGGAAAAACAAATATTTTTACTTTTTAATTAAGTGAAGAACCGAACCTTATCCTCAGGAGTGATATCCGAATGTACCCAAGCGAAAGCAAGTGGTCGATGAAGGCGAACACTAAATGTTCCCGATGTTATCTGTCCCACTCGCTAAAACAATGAAATTACTCAACAGCATATGTTACCATCATAGGACTATAAAATCATCATGTATGAAAGAATAGACAACTTACATCCTCTGAACCTTCCTTACGAATTACTTCCATTCGCTTCGGTATCATTCTCCACCCCTGAGGTTTGGAAAGAGGCTCACAAATTAAAAGTACCTAAAATTTTATTTCAAAATTAAGCGATTTAACTCGACTATAGAAAAAAAAGTTTCTTTTACTTGTTTTCAACAAAAAGGAAATGTTTTGATTTGGAATCATTCCAAAGAATTCTTTATCTGAAATCTTAAAATACCTGCTTCCGACTCCATTGTTTCTGCGATAGCTCCATGCAAGATGTTTTGCCAATGAAGTTTTCCTTGTTCAAATCCACCATTTGGCTCAATCCACATTCATAAGGATTTGTGTTTAGCGTAAGCTATAAAAGGCAAAGAAATATTCATTAACAATACACAGTATAAATAGCAAACATAAATCCTAAATATAAAATAGAATAATAAGTCCAAAGCTGCTATAAAACTGTAAAATGTTATAATAAAGCAGAAAGTTCGCTGTTGGTTTCATAAATTTGAGAAACTTTCCAATGCTAATTCACGAAATACTATCGAACAGTTCTGGTAGTATTACACGCGGTAGCATTCACCATCAGTAGTAAAGGGATGGAAACGATAAAGTGCACGAATAATTTTATACATCACAGAAAGATACATAAATAAACATACTTCTCTGCCCCATATCTTATAGCCATTCTCAATGCGCATCATATTCAATGTACTTTGGCCAAAGTTAACAATATCGTAATTTCTGCCCACCTCCATTAATGAATTATAGAGTGCAAGTGTATCACCTCTGAAAAAGAATATTTAGCACCTGATACTGTAACTGACATTTTCGAAAGCTGATAAACCGCTTTTCGATTACAGCTACATTTTTTTCAAATAACACGCTCGAATAGTTTTCCTGGAGTCATAATCCTAAGTTTTAAAATTAAAAGTCCTAACCGTCAAATTTTAAAAGCTAGAATGCAACCTTTTAAAAGGAAAAAATTCGAACTTATGACAAGTTTGAAATATACTTTTGTTAATTTAATTTTATATATAATATCAACCTGCTATGATAAAGTTCATAAGAAAGCTGTCCTGTAGCAGCTGTAGTACGAACAGCAATAACTGGTTCCGAGCCAAGTCTCATTAGTCGCGCAGCGTTTTGTTTAAAATCCAAATCCGATTTTGTTAATTCTTCTAGTACCTAAATTTTCAATTTTTAGATCATTTTAGAAATTTATTCCTAACAAAACAATTGGTTGGAATCTCTTTGTATTATATATCGAAGCAGTTATAAATAATTCCTACAATAAATCAAAATTATGAGAGTTTTAGTTTCAGGTTATGGGAGTTTCAATCACGGAGCATCCGTACATATGGAGTATGAAAATGACTAATAAACTACAAAGCTCTTTATTCATATGAGGGAAGGATTAGACCAGTCCAAAGAAATTTTCTTTCTCGACTACTACATGAATGACATAATTTAAGCAGTAAAGTTTGATATCATATATCAGCATATTTTATTCTATATTTAGTCCACACCGAAAGATATAATATCAGCAAATAGTAAGCAGTGCAAACCATGCAAATAATAGTTTACTTGATCGCTGTTATCGAAAAAAAAACTTACTTCCCGACTTTTTGGACCGACAACAGCAAGCGAAGCCAAATATTCACTTACGCCGGATATTTCCACATTAGCGTCCATCTCAATTGCAGCTCTTTTCAGCCAGTTAAGTTCACGAGATTCTCGTTCTGGGTCGGTTAAAAGTATAAATTCTAATCTGCAATATTTCAGATTTTCAAAAATATATTGCAACAGTTGGAAAAAAGTCAATAAATAAATTCATCTTTTTTACCAGATATAATACCTCAGGCAGCACCGATGGCTCTCCATTTATAACCAATTTTGTAATTTGTAATTAACCAAAACTATAAACTGAGAATTTCACTTATAAAAGCTAAGATTTCATCATTACAAAAATTACAGGCAATGAACGACAAAGTTAATTCTAGTGGTTATCAGTAAATATTAAATCAACAAGTTCTCTTCATATTACAGAAGTACCTGTACTGATCATGATGGAAAAGGTCTAATGATCCGAAAATATTCCCCTTTTTCGTAAGCATTAATCCCGATGATACTTCGCCTAGTTGAGGCGGCTCACTAGCTAGTACATAACTAAGCAACTTTTCGGAATCCCTGCCACGTACCTGAAAATAAGAGTACATTTTAAGCAAAAAAACGTTTAAATCTAGCATTCAGAGTTTAAAGATTGAATACTGAGTTTTTTTCTAGAATTTCTCTGATCATTTCTTGAGGATTTTAATGTTTTCTTCTGATTTCAAATGATGAATTGGCAAACTTCGATCTTTAATGCTAAAATCTCCTTCTAATGGTATTGACAAAAAATAAAGAATTATTAATTAGTGAAAAAAATCAACTTCAATTTTGCCGCGCCAGGATAAGTCGATCACACCACATTTATTCGAGACCAACTCATATTCACGTATCATATTCGGCAGTTTATCTTTATACTCCGCAGCAAATGATTCGGCGACCTATAGAAAAAATTATTTTCCACAAATTATCACCAATATTGCAATCACTTAAATATTTTCTATTTAATGATATCACAAGTGCATATCTAATAGGACTATAAATAAACAATTCGAAATAATTATTATGCCATTCGTAGCATTTTTAGTTTTCGCTTAATCACTCGTGAATATATCTGGTAATGGTTGATATTTCCTAATAGCTATCATTCTCTTACCTTACTGCGAAGAAGTACTTAGATGAGGTTTAATTTTATGAACTCCTATTAAACAAAAATAATTAAAAATTACGATGAAGTCAATCAAAACTGAAAATAAAATGTAAACATTATGGTATAAAATTACCTCCCAGCCATTGCGGAACAAATAAAAGCATCCTTGCTTCTGTAGTCGCCCGTAAATTCCACTTATACGTCCTGTAGGCCGTCCAACTAGCCGATTCTTGTATGACCAATTGTAAAACATTGAATATGTTTCGCGACACTTGTTGACAATGTAATCTCGTGTTACCCAACGATCAAACCTATAATACAGTAACAAAAAGAAAATATAAATTTTAAATAAGTAGAAACAACTTCTTATATTTCTAAAATTCATCAGAACTATTAGTAGTTGTTTAAATGCAACGAATTTTTTGAGAAAAAAAGAATAACTATTAGGAACTGTTAAATTAAAATCTTCCTTCAATATTCCAGAAATATGACTTAAGTTCCTATTGTTGAACACTGCGAAAGCTCAATTCCTTAATCTACAAATATACTACGCAATTTTTCTAATCTAAAATCTTTAACAAAAAAAATAAAAAGCATCCTCTAAAAATTAATTGAAAAAATGAAAAATGATGAAGTAAATTTTTACAAAGTAAATCACACCTATTAGCATCAGTATCGAATAGCTCAGATGGAGGCTCACCATCGATTATCCAGTCTGCTAGATACTTTCCCATTCCACCACCACTTGAAATACCGTCGAAATATCCAGCCTATCAGATAAGATGAATTAATTTATTGGCGAAGAAACCGAATATTTAAAATTTCCTTAAAGGATTTAACTGATTACCAGAAATAAAAGTTTCACCTGAAGCCAATAATTTTGTTTGTGATTGATAGGTCCAACAAGTGGATAACCATCTGCCATCATTGTAACAACAGATGCTCGTGCATCAACATTAACACCACGTAAGCATGGAATAAGGTCACATGCGCGTTCATAAGCTCGTTCCAAACGTTTGAAATCTGCTTCAATGACCACCTCTGAATCATCTTAATTTTTTTTTATCACCTTTAATTTAAAAAATACTAAAAAAAAAGTCTACGAATGAAAAGTTCCAAACTGAAAATGTAATAAGAATTTCTTTCCAAATTTCAATTACCTCTTCTTTTTTCATCCTTTTTTTTAGAATTGAAAAGTCGCAAGTGAATAAAAGAATCAATTAGCACAAGAAAAAACTAAACATTTAATTTTTTTTTTGATACTGCAAAAAAATAAACTGTCTTCATTCGACTATTGTATTGCTATTCCAAAAACTTTAATAAAGTTTTACTGTAAATGTTACTCGGCCAAAATTTTACTACAAGATCAACTACCAATCTCATATTATTCTCATAGGATTAAAAAACATATAGAAAGCATTAAGAAGAAAAGGTAAAGAGAAAAAAAAAACTTTAGCAAGGATTAGAAAAAAGAATAAACTCGATTAAACAAAATAACCTAATATGAGCAGACAAGAATTCGTTCCTAGAAAACTTTAACTGTAGAGTACCTTCTGGCATACGTTCTATCCAATCTTCCCGAATAACAACATCTGAAGGTTTTTGTTCGAAACCACCAAATAACACACCATCACCCTCTCTGTGTATATAAAACGTACTTTCATGATCTATAATGGCCGGCAAATCCAACAGTGGCTCTACCTAAATTTGAAAGACAACAATGAATTAATTTCCCGATCAAAAATACAATGGAAAAGTACTTGATGTGAACGAAAATTTAGTTATCAATTTTTGTTGAAAAGTTCTTATTCAAATATCCATTAAGAAAGAAATTCTTTGCTGTCTAAAAAGACTTTAAACTTTTCAGAAAAATTTTGGTCTACCTCAGGTAAAGGACCAATACGTGCATAATGGTGCTCGACTATTGCAAGGGGTATATCCAAATTTGTCAATCGTCCAAATTCTCGGGCCCACAGACCTGAAATTCTTTTTACAGTTTAAAAGATAAAATTCTTAATAAAAATGCTATACAACAATTGAAACCCACATGCACTTTGTTACAAAAGACATTAATTTATACAAAACTTGAATATGAATGCGCCATAAAAGATGAAGAAGGCAAAATTTCACCACTGATACTAAAAGATTTTTTTTCCCGTCTCATCGTTGGTAGCACAACAAAAATTTGCAACGACATCCAGAAAGTAAAATTTATTGAAAATCTTTTCATCAAGAAATGTCCATCCTGAAATCAGATTTTAAGAAATCTACCAATAAATTTTTCTAACCTGCAGCATTTATAATATTTCGAGCTCGTATTTGGCCACCATCATCAAATTTCACGACCCAATCAGTTTTTCCCTCCTCCACTGCTTTGATTTTTGGACACTGTTCAATAATCACAGCACCACGTTTTTCAGCACCTTTAGCGAGAGCAAGCGTGAGATTTTGAGAATTTATGTAACCATCTCCAGAAGTATATAAAGCTCCTAATATAGTTTTCGTATCCAAAATAGGTGCCAAGTCTTTCACTTTATCTGCGTCAATTAGTGTTGTTTTTGCTACATCACCTTTCTACAAACAGGAATGGAAATTAGAAAAGTATTTATTTCAAAGATATTCATAAGGATTCATATTCATGAACCTATAAATGAAACTTTTAATACCAATACCGAAAATTTCAGGCATCTAAATTGCGACAAGAAGAATCATAATGGAATGAAATCGGATTTGGGAAAAAGCTTCAACTTCTGAAAAGAATTGTTCATTAACTAAGAGACTTTTTGAAGAAAAAGCGAAAAGTACTTGAAAATAATCCCGAGCTGTGTACTGTCGAAATTCATCCAGACGTGCTTCATTGGTTGCTAATCTTAATGTTCCCGGACGAAAAAATTCAAGCTTCTGAAATCACTGCAATAATGAAAAAATTACATATCGAACAACACTAGAACCGTTCGCACTCGAAAAAATCTTAAAATTAAAAAAAACTTTCGAACTTAAAGAGTGTTAAATTTTGAAAAACATACTTCTTCTGCTTCCTCTTGTAAACGTGCGTATAGTTCAACAGACCATGCAAGGAACGGTTTATAGCGATGAATTGGATGTGCCGAGCTAACCAGACCTGGCTATAAATTGTAAATAAGATTAAGATAAAGTTAAACATCAACAATACCTTAAAATACTAAATCATTTGAAGAAATCAATAATTACTTATTCCAAAAATTCGAAGATCACTTTGTACGGTAAAAATGTGTCAAAAATTTTGCTGTTGTAAGTCAACTTCAGTCAATAAGCAAACAAGTTTGAAGATTGTCTGAGTAATTAGAACTAAAGCAGAACATTGTAACGTCTCAACAATTTCAAAAAAATTAAAGTTAAAATTTCAGATTCAACATCAAAAAATTTTCAGGTTTTTATCTCTCCCACCTCCCCCGCTTTTTTCAAAAACATTGTGAAAATAATTCTGGTGCATGAAAACGCCATTCTTAAATTTTGAAAAATAATAAAANTCTGGAAATCAAACCGAATGCAACGCTTTTCTTTTTATCTCTCCCATCTCCCCCGCTTTTTCAAAAACATTGTGAAAATAATTCTGGTGCATGAAAACGCCATTCTTAAATTTTGAAAAATAATAAAAGTCTGGAAATCAAACCGAATGCAACGCTTTTCCACCTGCTAATTTTCCTCTTTCCAATAAAACAACATCACGAATACCGCGAAGCGTCAAATGATAGGCTAACGATGTCCCAACAACGCCACCACCAACAATTAACGCAAATGCATCTTTTGGCATTTCACTAAGATACCTGCATAATTTTCTATTGTAAATTTTCTCTTTCTATAAGTTTATATTTTGCAATTTTGAGTTTCTTAATATGACTAAAGATCTTTCTTCAAATATATTATTTATTTATTCCATCATTAAAAATAAATTGCTAATTGCTGAAGATATTTTTCAAATTATTAATAGTTTTTATTAAGTGAACGGATTAAACAAAATAGATTTGCATACTAAAAATATTATTTTTCTTCATTATGTTCCGGTTGCTTACCATATAAATAGTGACCTCATCATAATATAATGCCTTTATGATTCATCTCTTATTTCTAACTGTTCTGAAATATTCGATATGCTTCATATTTCACTATTTCTTTTTTTTGTAAATTAAAATTCAACTTGAAATAAAAATCAAAATTGATTAATGACAAAATGCATTATTCCATAATGATGAAATTTATCAATTTTCTTACCGAGCCTGTTCAATTAATTGACGTTTTCCAGAAGCAACTTTCAATAACGCCAACATTTCACACTCTCGCTGCTAAAACGAATTAACTAACGGTGGGAGATGCTTGAAATTTATAATAGTTATTTTACTGTAATGTCCTTCGCAATAAAACATAAAGTAAGTAATTACATACATCCAATTTTGCATAAAAAAATTCCATACAATATAAAAGAATAGAATTAAGATTGTTTAAAATTTCCTAAAATGGAGGTAACTGATTTCACATAATAATCAGTGTCCCTAATTGAAGAAAATCGAATCTTTTTTTGAAAATTATTTCAAAGCTAATTTGGGACATTATTTCGCCATCTTAAATGAAAAGAAAAACAACCATTTTAAACGTCAACAAAAAAAACGAAAAGAAACCCAATTAAGAGGAAAAAAAGAAAAAAAAATTATGAATCTTTATCCAATTTTTCTTCATAATTACTCGAAAATATACACCATTCATTAGAAGAATATCTAAGAGATACAAAATGTATTTTACTACTTATAAAACCATTTAATTACACGCTAGTACCAATTTTTACAAAATTTTAATTTAGAAAAAGTACAATTTCATATGGAGTTCACAATCAATTTCCATTTGATGCGGAACCTTAGCAAAAAAAAAAAA